AAAAAAAATCCTAGTGCTCACATTTACTAATCTAAAAGAGTGCTCACAGAGAATATACCTTATAGATAACCATAGGAAAAAAGAAACCAAATGAAAAAGTTAAATGTTACAAATATTGTATATTCAATTGTGTTTCAAACTGATATGGTCTTCTCATTCTAATAATACAAGTAAATGTTCTTTTACAATACTTTTAAGGCCGTGGCAATATCATTTTTAAATTATTATTTTTTAGGAAGAGTTAAAATCACATCTGAAATAAATCAAATCATTATATGATTGAAGGCTTTCTTTGATTATGTATATGCACATATCTCTTACTACTTTCACATAAAGCATACTGATGAAACTTCTAAACAAAAAGAGTAGATTGTATCTTATGTTAATTACATGGAAAATGATCATACCAGATTGAAATAGTTTCTTAAATTATACATTAAATAAAATTATGAATAGTCAGGTATGCCATTCAAATAAAGTAATTACATTTTTWAAAAATATTTATTTAGTTGTAGATGAACACACAGTATCTTTATTTGTTTTTATGTGGTGCTAAGGATTGAACCCAGTTCCTCATACATGCTAGGCAAGCACTTTACCACTGAGCTACAGCCCCAGCCCAGGTAATTCCATTTTTAATGTATAAAATGTCAAAAGCCAAACACTGAGCTACAAACTACTAATTAAATCACATTTTCTAGACTAAATTTTAATTATGTGAAAAACAACATCAGCACATATTTCCTAATACACTTATGAGGAAAAAGCTTTTTAGTTTTCATCTTACCTTCTGCTGTACAAACAGTCCATAATATCAACCAAATAATCTTTGCAGGCAATYTCATGTTTTGAATCTTTTAAGGGCACATTTATTAGCTGAGAGTGCTCACAGGGTCCAGTTCACCTCTGCTAAAAATCACAATCAGGACAGGAAAGTACTTGCTTCTAACGGAAGTTGAAAGAGCTTGGGAAATAGGGGTTACTGGATGCTCCACCCATCAGAAACTTTCGCAAAGCAAATGAGGAGAAAAAAACAAACAATCCTACTAATCCTAGCAGCGCCAGAACTTGATCCAGATTCTTACTGCACTCCCACTGAATGCTAATGCTGTGACCTCTCTTTGATTTGTTCTRGTAAATGAAGGCATGTTCTCTATTGGAACAARCTCAGGTCTCCTGGAATGTAAAAGCAGCAGGGGGTTATCACCCACTGGGATTTCATAAAYTCTYCAGTAATCCAACTCTGTTCAGTTCTATTGCATGTAAACCACAGAACAGGAAGTAATGAAATGTSTATAAAACCGTTTATAGAACTTCAGTTGAGGCAGTGGTTTCTCAATCAACTCCCAGACAACATAAGCAAACAACTTAGTCCTGTCTGATAAGGGGTGCTTGCTTTTCCAGCAATTTGTGAAATCAGTCTTTAAAGA